CCCATATGGGGACCACATGACTTGGTCATCCTGACATATGGGCGCTCAAGGTACATCAAAAAAGAAAGTTTGAGAGCATAATGACAGTAGCATCGCCTTCAATGTATGTGACCGTAATTCCGGCCCTGCTTGGATGTAAGATGCAACTGACCGGAAATACGTCTAGAAATAAAGTAAAGAAGTCCTACTGTGAGGATACACACTGACACGGAGAAGCGGAACGGAAAACCCTGGGTCGAAAAAAAAAAAAGGTCAACTTGGATTTGGAATATACATGTGCGGAAGAAAAAAAAAACAAGTCGTCTTGGCTTACATCGCTTATTATCAGGGGCCAAGTCCCACAAGCAGCGTTGAGCTGCCTCAACGCCTGAATCTGGACGTGTTTGTGGAGACGGCCAGTTCAGGAAACTCAACACCATTTCTGCACATCTCCGTAAAAGCGTCCAGATTCAGGCGTTGAGGTAGCTCAACGCTGCTGGTGGGACTTGGCCCCAGGTCACCTTTTTCTGAGTCAAAAAAAAAAGAAAAAAGAAAACCTGTCTCATGTCCCCGCTTGTCTCTTTCGCGAATGTCGGCCGCACCCAACGGGGCTAAAAATAGGTACACACAACCAACTAGGTAGGCAATCCGACCTATGGTCTATCCAATAAAATAATAATAATAATAATAAATAAATAAAAATAAAAATAAAAATAAACATAAAAAATAAAAATAAAATCCTGTGCTCTGCGGCCGCGAGGTTCCACTACCAAGGGGATTGGATTGGCTACCCGAATCTGGACGTGTTTGTGGAAGGTGCAGAAAATCGAGATTGAACGGCTTTTCTGCATCTCTGCTGAAAACACGTCCAGATTCAGATGGTAAATGCAATCCTCTTTCCTAGTGGGACCTCGCCCCTGCAGTCCGACACATGAAGTGCGAGAACACAGCTTTTTTTTTTCCCAATTAACACGCAGCTTCTATGAAACTCCATCGTTACACAGGGGAAAAAAAAAAAAAAAAAAAAAAAAAAACCACCTCCATCGCTATCGTCAGCGCCCTGCATCCTTTCTCCGTATACCTCATTCGCCTCCTAGAAATCCGCACGTAATGACTGCCTCTCTGTTTGTGTACATGAGAGAGAGAGAGAGAGAGAGAGAGAGAGAGAGAGAGAGAGAGAGAGAGGTCCTTTCATCCAGGCGAGTTTTCGAAAAGAAAAGGAAACTGCAACTCCAGTCCCAACACTGTAGCTATCATATACATAAAAATTAATATAAAAACTTTTAATTATGTAAAAATATGTATTTATGTATATATATATATATCGTCACAAACAGATATACATGTATATATATATATCGTCACAAACAGATATACATGTATATATATATATCGTCACAAACAGAACTGCCCGGTAAACCGTAGGCAGAGAGAGAGAAGAGGACAACAAACGAGGGGCTGTGACAAACTGTTTCGTCGGAGTTTCACCGACTCATCATATATATGTATATATATCGTCACAAGAATATCAGAGCGCAAAAGCGAAAAAAAAAAAAAAGAAAGAAAGAAAGGAAAAAATGAATTCATTTTTTTTATCTTCGTCCTTATAACCCCCCCTGTTCAGAACCTCTTGCGTACAAGGCCGCCCTCGTGGATGTAGGTTGAAAAATCGTAGGCAGAGAGGGAGAAGAGGAGATAAAACGAGGGGCTGGACTGTGACAAACTGTTTCGTCGGAGTTTCACCAACAGGCTCATCAATCAATAGAGGCTGAACCCGCAACAGTCTGCAGAAAAATCCCTCACTGATTACACTGTAAGTGATAATCCACCTTAACCACAACCGGTTGTGGTTAAGCATCAACGACGACTGCCCGACAACTGATACACTGAGGTGGTGGGGACCACCAACCGCTGCCCTCAAGGTACCTCTGACGAAAATCAAAGCAGACTATCACTC